CAGTTGACAGCCTCCCATCTTCGATTTTCCATGCGTGTATGCTCTAAAACAGCTTACCAAAAAAAAGTATACCATAAAAACAATAATCTGTTTGAATAATAAAAATAAAAGGTTCTCTTTCGAAACATAAATCGAACCAATGATGTCAAATTTAGTAGTAATTGATGTAATACTAATCTTAAATTTTGTTTTCTAAATTTCCAAACTTTCTAGCATCTGCAGGATTTCAACTTGTCTAGCATCTGAGGAAATCATCAAACATAAACACCACAAGCAAGTAGCAAAAACAGAGATCCAAAACCCTGCAATCAATGGATCAATTTTCAGCCAAAGCAACAAACTGAATCTCCTACAGACACCGTATTTAACACAGTGAAGAAAAAATGAAGGACAAATCTCTAAAATGTACCAAGAAAACAGAAGCCACAGCTCCAGTTGTAAGCTCCTTCGCTAAACTGCGATATCGCTTTGATGAGGTAGCCTCATAGCTGCAACATAACAGAAACAATGATTGAAACTAGAAATCACTATTTATAGGTAAAGAATCATTTAAAAAAAATATGCACCTTACTGTTCTAGGGCAGATATGTTAATTATTTGCGGTTTCATGTTCAACCATGAAGAGTAGCAAAACATGCAACTACCTTTATTTTATGAGAAGACCTAATGATTATTTTCAATTATATCCTCACAAAAATTTATACCCTTCTACTTAGAAGCTTCATTGTTTCCAACTATAACATGCAATAAAGAATGAAGACACAAAGACGGGGAATATGATTCAGGTAAAATTTTAAAACATAATTTATTTGAGCAAGTATCATTTAACTAAAAAGAAATTCTGAGAAACCAAACTAGCATTTTGGTTGGTAACCAAATCCTTGATTACACGAGATAAAACAAAGGCAGTAGAAGCAAAGGTCCAAGATATGATGCACCATATATTCAGTTATTTACAACCTTTCAACACTTCATTCTATCAAAGAGCATATTTTCTGTTAAATTATAAGCTTGGAGATAGTTTTTCACAACCTTGACACATGCCACTTTCAGCCATCCCTCAAAAATCTTCTACAATCATGTCAACTTGCAGCAAACCACCATTCTAACCAACAAGAGTGGAATATAAGCTTACGATTGATACGTTTTTTGTACAATATAAAATCCGTTAACATATCCATTTGATATGACAAATAAACGCCCTGGCAACCACCTAATTCCACCTAAACATGGGGTGAAAAATGAGTACTAGTCCCTTTCATTAGATTGAATGCATTGTTGAGCACTAAAATTCCTATCTCACTATTGAACGATATAACGAAGTTTGGAAATATGTCTTGAAAACAACAAAAAGCCATATTCAACTGCTAATTCTAGAACTAGGATGATGAAAGGTCAACAAAACAACTATGCATCGGAATGGGGTAGCCACATCTTGTATCAGCTACGATGTGGTACATTATACTTGGTGAACTTGAACCATTTGGCTGTACAAATAAGCCAGTTGTACTGTAAATGAGTACTTTTGGTATCACTTGAGAGGTAAGACTCTGTGCTATATACAACATAATGTATAAGCTATAAAATCATAAACTTAACTGAAGGTGCCAGCTAGCTTGCAGGTAAGGTTCCTGACTGGTCGTAGTGGGGACTTGGGATCTAATCCCATGGTTCCCACCTTCACTTTGGGTTGGGGATCTTGGGGTTTGGGCTACCCCCCATTGTGTAGCCCTACCCCCCCCCCCCCCAATGTGAAGCCCATTCACATACCAAGAAAAAAGAAAAACCATAAACTTAACCACTCGCTTTTTACCAGTAGAAACTTACTTACCTTTCTGCAAAGCCATGAAGGTATAACCAACAAACTACTAAAAGGAGTCCATTAAAGGCATGACTTAGTACTTTCTCTGAAAAACATGTAACAAATCAAAAATCCATTGGCAAGACTTACATGATCTAAGTTACACCCGTAGTCTTCCTTAAAGTTACCATAACAAGTCTGGTGAAATAGCTGAACCCATGCTAATTGCCAAAAAGGAGACCATTACTCAAGAATATGGTACCAACAGAGTTCATATACTTCATACATATATTATTCAAGTAATTTTAACAAAATGTAGGAACAAATATAACCTAAGTCAGAAGAATCATCTTTAAAGCATAAAAGTTCCAAATAAAGGAACCAAACAAGCAAATACTCATGTAAATATCTGTGATCTGCCCATGTGCTTATAAACAATGTTACCAAGCCAGATGTTGAACTGCTGGGACCAACGGTTCCCAACTCAGTGGTTCAATTCAAGCATCCAATATAAACAGTTTGACCCATTATGGTTATTTCAACGGTATAATATTAATATCAAAAATAGGGGGAAAGGAAAAAAACAAATCAAAAGATGGGAAAAAATAACAACAATAATAATACCTAACAACATCATAAAACCATTGACAAAACATACTCTCTCCGGGATGACCAAAATCTAATGACATCTCTGAGGCGATAGGGCTTCCCATCACCCAAGGCATCCAATTTCTTGTTCTCTTAGATGATTAGATGCATTAACTTGAATGCTTATGGTCTTATTAGAGGAGGACTTATTTGGGGACGGCCCTTCTTGAGTAGTTATGCATTTTCCTTTTTCTTGTAGACTTGCCCTCACTTTTTATTATTTGGGACTCTAAACCATTTTTTTTACCTTTTACATTATAAAAATCTTTGTTATTTCTGTATGTGACTATGTGTGCCTTTATTTATGCTGTGGTCAACTCAACAAAGCCTTGTTCCAATCATCTAGGATCAGCTAAATGAATCTTTTTCTCCCTATTAAGGAGCATATCCTCTATTAAATATGAGTTTTAAAATACTTTCTCACTACTTCAACTGATGTCCACTTTAGCCTCCCAAATCACTACTTCTCGATGCTATAGTCGGTCTTCCATGCACATTACCAATTCATAATTCCATCTTAGTATATTCTCTTTCATTTGTTACCTGTTTGAGCTATGCCAAGGTCCCCATGGATGCAAAGATTTTTTATCGTATCCCTTTTACTCATCACACTCCTCCATCTCAACATTCTCATTTCAAGTTTCAACTACTCACTTTATCACAAATATGCCAAAACTAGTGAGGTTAAGAAAGATATTCAAGAAGTGTTTCTTATTTCATGTACATGTACATTTTCCAGGCAGTAATTAATAAATTTGATCACAAACACAACAAATATGTGTTTTTACAGAACAATGACAACTAGTGAATTTTAAATAAGATAATTTCATATAACATTAATATGTAACAGAAAGCTAGGCGCCACCATTTATAATCACATCATGAGCCTCTAAAACCTCATTCTAACTGTAAAGGAAGCAAGAAGTGATGATATAAGATTAAGATTGGGAATACGGTCATAGGCCTCATAAGTGTGGCAGTCCAATTCTGGAGGAAATTCACCTGTCCTTTGTCCATCTACATCAATTACTTTTACTTAGTGCCAAATAGGCAAAGAAGGAAATAAAGAAAGAAACTCTAAAGGGCCAGTTACCATGATCAATAGATTATTGGATGACCATAAAGCTGTATATAAAATAAATTCTCCTTTTTTAATGGGGATTGGGGAATAAAAGAAAAAGGCAAAGAGGCCTCGAGAAATATCGAATACATTCACAATGAACTTAATTACATATCATAATGATAGATAACTAGATCATGCCTTATGGAGTAAAATGAGGCAGTAGAGAACTTTTATTGGACCTCCAGACATCTTATACTTTGAGCATCCAAGCAACTTTTACATAATTGAATATTCCATGTATTAAGGTAGTAGATGGGCACTAAATAAACGTTAATCTGCACAAAGAAATCATAGATAACAATGAATCCTGGTTTTGGATTGTAGCATCCATGTGAGTCTCTCTTTCACATTCATCTTAGTTCAGACTACTGTCAGACTGATGTGCGAAGACGCCGTTAGGTGAGTGCAAGATTTTTGCCATCAATGGAGATCAAACGTTCCATTCTTGTATGCGTCTTAAAATCACGAATTAACCATCTTAGTAATAAAAGCATTGGCAAATAGCCTCGCAAATGTTAAATTATAAAAGCAAAGCAGAAACCAGATGTAAACGAGATCTCTCCTCCCCCCAGAAAGATACATCTTTTTAGTTCATAAATCCTAAATTCAAGCGCCAAAGCACAATATTTTATCTACTCAATCAAGCTTCAAAACACTAAATTTAGAAGCATTCTGAATCACTTAAGAGAGAGAGGGGGAGAGATGTTGGAGCAGATCGCTTACATGAAGAATGAAGCGGTTACAACAAGACCAATTATAAGCATGAGAACGGCTAATGTTGGATACCACGCATCTGGGACGGGGCTTGTGATGGGTTTCGCCGCCGAAGCCTGTCAAAGAAAAATAAAAATCAAAATGAACAGTGATAGAATGCTCAATTGCAGAGAAAACCCTAGAAATCTTGAGGAGGAGGAGGAGGAGGAGACTCACCATGTTTGACGAAGACGATCGGTTTAGCTTGCGCACTTCTTTTTTCCCTTGATTACTGACGAGTGAGTTCTTGATTATCTGTGTTATCAACGATGGTCTTAGACTCTTCTTCGAGAGATGTGTTATCAACTGCTTCGACGATTTCTGATTATCTGTGTTTGGCCCGCCTATTGTGGGACCTACTATATCACGGCAATTTTGATGGAAAACGATGGAGGCTTTGTGTATTGGACATTCTGAACCGTGGCTGTTTGATTTGGCCTGGCTTACGGAGCTTTGGTACATCGTAATATATAGTCAATCGATTTACACATGCAAGTTGAGCAAAAGCGGAGACGGTAGGGGTGTTCACGGGTCGGGTTGGGTCGGTTTCATGGGATATTCCCAACCTAGTCGGGTTACCAGAGGTGGGAACCGAAACCGACCCACTGATAGGCCAAACCGACCTGGTCGGGTTGGGTCGGTTTCGGTTTTGCTCCTGTACAAAGCCGAATAAACTCTGAATTAGTTGAGGACTTGAGTTGAGGGGGGCGGACCAACCAGGTTAAGTTAGAGAATAGAAGATTTTAAGAGAAGACAAAAGTGGAATTAGAAGACTAGTAGGAAACTAGGAATTCTAATTGTAATTGCCTAATGGGC